TGTATGCGCTTACCTCTCTAAAGCTGGACATTGGATGCCAGAGAGGCAGATGCATGGGCGAAGTTGGATAGGCACCCCAAGGTGTTGAAAATTCTTCTTGTTTCTTCCAAGAAATTATGCTTTGTATCAAGCATGCTCTAGTAAAACTTGCATATTTGCCTTTGAAGTTACTCTTTGAATCCAATAATATGGACATGCAAGTCCATCACTTCTCAAGTTTTTTTTTATCTACAACAAAATACATTCAAGGCATGCTGCTTTTGGTCAGTTTTCTGTATACGCTTTGCAATTAATATTTTCATGTGGAATACCATCCTTTGTACTGCATCTAGGAACAGTGATCATTTCTCCCTATTTCACATTTAAGAGCTGTCATGTTCCACTAACCTAATAGGAGTACTACAATTAAATAGTTAAACTTCATGCAGATTTCCTTGTTGGTTGAGCATCTTTTTTTTATAAAAATTCCTATATCCCCACAAAAAGATAGGAAATGGATAATCAAATGCAGCATGTAATACTTGATACGTACAATTTGACAAGTTCTGTTTCAGCGTCATTTCTACTATTGATTAATTTTCGTGTTGGACGGTCCAATTCGTTCATTTGTAACCATGAACTGTATTTTGCGATTGCACTGGCAATAGGAAGGGCCCCTGATTCATTCGAACAAAGGCTCAGTATAATTGTGTTTTTTGTGGTAGATGTTTAAAATTTCAATGTACAAATATATTACGGTATTGCATTGAATGTATGTCTAATATTTTATTCATGTAGAGTACTTTTATTCTCAATATAATAGTATAATATAATTATACATTATATAATATAAAAAGTACAGCAATCACACCAAATCGTTCCACATCCCAATCATATTGGTCTTCTCTGTCTTTTTTTTTTTTTTTTTTTTTTTTTGCTGATACGATAAATCTACACTCTTCTATATTAAGGAGAGGGGAGTTTAAAGAGATCCAAGAACAACTCGGAGAGAACTGAATCACTACCGGTCTAACCGGATACATTGGTCCTCTCTTGTTCCGTTGAAAATTGATGTGTAGATTGGACAGAAAAGGTGATGCTGGGTTGGGGGTCGCAATTAAATCCCCTAGACCAAAAAAAAAAAAAAATGGTGATGGAATAAATGAACAAATTGGATATCTTTTTTCGCATCAGCATATACCACTAAAATACCATTCTTGGACATGCCATTATTGACCCACCTTTGGTCTATAGCCCTTCACAAACAAATTTTATTAGCAACCCCCTCTCCCACCATCGTTTGTCTTCATAGCAGAAAAAAGCGGGAACCAAACCGATTTTCTTACTGGCTTATTCCAACGTAGACTCCATCAAGTTCTCTACGCTAATTGACAATTTGGCACCTTGCCCAATTGCACCCATGGGAATTGATCCCTCTTCCCAATTTTTGCTTCTTAAATTCTCCTCCTTTTTCACACATCCCAGTTCTCAATTTCATCCCAGAGCATCCCATCTAACACACACGCAATAATAGGAACTCGTCAGTCATCACTAGCTAAAGCATTAAATTCTTGCCATTTCTTGCATACAACTATGGGTGATCTTCATTCTTCATTCCGCCCGACAAAGACTCAAATTAAGGCTGTTATCTTTGATTTAGATGGGACCCTTTTAAATACAGGTCATATTTCTTCCTCCTCATGTTTCATTCTCATGTTTTCTTTCTATGAAAGTTGAATTTTGTAGCTTTTGTTTAGCCGTTTTGGTTGAGTTTGCTAGGACATTGACCTGAAAACTAGTTCGAGTCTTACCCCGAGCTATTTCTTGAAATGAATTTAGTGGGTAGAAGAGGTTCTGATTTTTGTGGCTTTTTTATTTCAATAGAACAAGTTACTGAGGGGATCATGAAGGAATTTCTGGCAAGGTATGGGAAGGTGGCAGATAAGGAGAAGGAGAATAGGAGAATGGGGATGACTCAAAAAGAGTCTGTGAGTGCAATTATCAAAGACTATGATCTTCCACTCACACCTGAAGAATTCACCCAAGAAATTATGCCTCTCTATCAGGGAATGTGAGTCTTTCATCTGTCAATTTCTTATTATATAGTTGTCAAAATATTTGCTTGAGTTTCAACATGTTAAAAGAGTAATTGATGGTTGACTTGGAAGTATAGCAGGAGTAATTTAAAATGATGTATCTCTGCATTGCTGTTTTAGCATATATAGAGTGATTGCTAGTTTATTTAATGTGCTTTATTGATCATGGACTTACGTCCTGGCAAGTCTCTTTAAAAATGACGACACAATGTACTTAATTGCACAGTCAGAAATATGATTGTAGTTGATCTCCTCTGTTGAGAGTCTGTCATGAGGCCAAGTGGATAGAGAAAGAATTCCACTTTGCAACGCAAAGTTTCCTTATCTTATTAGTTAGCCAAACGAAATGCCTTTTCAGATGGAAAGTTTTCCTTTTTCCAACATATTAATGTCAATAAGGGGAGCTTTGAAGTCATATTCACTTAGATTTTATGAACTCCATGTGGACTGGATAACCAGAGAGTAGTATAGCATTTGATTTGTTGTGTGAGAAATACATTTAAATTCTAGAGTAGGTGGATAGGCAAACATTATTAGTCTTGGATAAACCAATCTGATTGATTTGTGGGGGTTTATTGCTGATAAGCAGATGAAATGAAATATGCTTAAAGGATTCATATGCTTGACATGAAGCTAAATCATCGCAAACATTGTTCACACAGTAGCAGTTCAATAATTCTTCAAGCATTTCATTGCTTATATACAGAATTTTGATAGTAAATACCTTGAATCGGTTCTTTTTCTTTGGTCCTCTACATGTATGGGATTTCTTTGGCTTTAGTGTCGATTTTAGATAATTGTTTCGTTTTAGGTGGCTGAAAGCTAAACCACTTCCTGGTGCTAATCGCCTTATGCAACATCTCCATAAACATGGTGTGCCCCTTGCACTTGCTTCAAACTCTTTAAGGAGAAACATTGATGTGAAAATTTCACACCAACAAGGTTCGTTTCTTGATTCTCTCCAGATGTTGATTAGATAATGCATTAAGTGAATGGTTTTTTACTGTATTCTTGTGATTCTTTTATGTTTTTACATCTTTTTCCTCCTTTTGGAATTTGTTCCAGTCTAAGTTTCTCAATTAGCATTGTCGTGTTCAGGAATAAGTAAATCATTGGAAGATTTCAATATTTTGATGTGGGTCCAGGATTGAAATCAACCTCTCAACTGATTATGCTGCTTTTAGTGACAATAATTCTCTAATAATACAAGTTTATTGGTGTCTTCTTTGAATTGGCTTATGCATTAAAAGATCTTAGCAACAAAGTAACTATAGTTGCTGAATGCTATCAGTTTAATTGATTTAGGCATCTGTGTATGTCTAAGTACTATTCCCTACTCATGCAGCAATTCTCTTCCCTCTTATTTTGGGAATTAATGTCTACATATTCTTGATGCTTAAAACATATGTACCATGTTTGCTTCAAATTATAGTTGTCCGATGAACTAATTAGGAGGCACCCCTTAGCTCTCAGAGGGCACAACTTTTGAGAACTTATTTATCTTAGCTCCTTAACTTTTCACGTTCTTATTATGTCATATTCCTCTCTAAAGGGCAGCAGAACTTCAGACAGTTTCTGGAGGAAAATCTAAGATTGTCCAAGCATGCATTTTGCTAAAGTCTCTGGCATTTTTATTTGTTGGTTTGTTGTGCTTTTAGGAAACTATCCTGATTATTCATCAACTGCAACTTACTACTATCAAATCGTATCTATGTAATGCTATACTCTGAAACATGAAAGAATAGTTGAATAGGGATTCATAAATTTATATTGAATCTACTGAAAAAATTCACCATTTTCAAGGTGCACTTCTATTTCCCCACACTTCCCATGCATCTTGTGGAACTTCGGAATTATACATTAGGTCCTAGTTGTACATGTGATTCTCAGAAATTTTTGGACAAAATCTACTTTGATTGAAGGTGAATAAATTATTTAGTCATTGATCCATAGCATCTATGTTTCATGTTATTGCAGGATGGAAAGAATACTTTACTGTAATCCTAGGAAGCGACCAGGTCAAATCAGGGAAACCAGCACCTGACATGTAAGACATACATAAGTTTCCCTAAGAGTCATCCTTTTGTATTTTTTTGTTTAGAATACAGAGTCTCAAGCATTGCTTGGTTTTCAGGCTTTTAAGACAGTCCTCTATATTGACAGTCAAATACAAATAAATTTCTCTAATGTACTTAGATATATCATTGGAAAGATTCACTGTTGATCAGCTTATTGATGTTTATCTTGGGTGAGATAAACGAATGGTATCATCTATGGGTTGAATTGACTGCTTTCTATACTTGGTTTATGAATCCTTTAATATGTTATCAGGTTTCTTGAAGCTGCAGTTATTATGGGTGTTCAGGCACTTGACTGTCTTGTTATAGAAGATTCCCTGTAAGTGACATTCACCTTTTTCATTTTATGGAAACTAGACATAATTCATGTTTCATGAAATCTCTATCTTCTTGTTACAGTATCTGATTTCACCGTAATTTTAGAAGTTTCTCATGCAGATTTTTTTTTTTTCTACTGTACATCTTTCTTTTTAACATGCTTTGTGAACTTTGCTTGATTTCTTCTATCATCATTTGTCATTATTCACAAATTTTGGCAGTGTTGGTGTTAAAGCAGGGAAGGCTGCTGGAATGAATGTGGTTGCTGTACCATCTCTCCAGACTGAAACAGATAAATTTTCTATCGCTGATTCTGTTCTTCACTCACTATTGGAGTTTCAGCCAGAGCTATGGGGTCTTCCACCATTTGGAGATTGTATGCTATCAAATAATTCCAATATGTCTAATTTTTCCTCGTAATCCCTTTTCTACTGTACAAATAAACTTAGGGGTTCGTTTGGATTGACAGTTTTTTCAAAAACTGTTTTTGTCTTTGAGAAACAACACTTACTGATAAGTAAGTCTACAGTGGGTCTTTAATAAAACTGCGACGTTTTTGGCAAAATAGCCAATTGTCTTGTTTTTGGCTTTCCTTTGCCGACGCTACTTTACCAAATTGCCTTCTGTGCTGAACGCGAAGACATATTCAGAACAGGGACCAGTCAGGAGCTTGTGCAAAGTACTCCTCCGAAGCACCATTGCCGGCCATCGAGAGGCGAAATTATGAGTAATCGAAGCAGATTTTAGCTCGCAACCTTCGATTCCAACCTCCTTCAGCTCGCGACTTCACTTCGAAACCTCCTCTGAGCTCCAACCCCCTCTTCGATCTTCGATCCATCTTGCTAGTACGCCCCTCTTTGAGATGTGACCTTGTCTGCAAGAGCCCATCATCGCGCTTCAATCCATCAGGATCTTAACCCCCTTTCACAGCGAACAACACATCTCGAGTGACTGGCAGCTCCAACCCGTCTTCGCCCTTCGATGTACTGTTAAGGTTATGTTTCTAAGGCATTTTGCGACTTTCACTTTACTGTTCTTGCTGCGTATTGTAAAGAATAATGTGTGGGATGTTCAAAATTTGATGTCCGGAAGCCCCAAAAATTTGACTGTGAGGTCAAAATTTGTGCGCTGCTTTCAATTTTCCAAATCATCACATTTAGAGGTGTTGGACAGTAGAGTTACAGATTAGTTGTGCAGAGTATTGTGGTGGATGAACCAAGTCTCGGCAATGCTGAAAATGAACCATGAAAAATTGAGCTGGTTTGAATATTGACACGATAAACTGGCCATGCTCTGAATTCAATGTCAGATTTCATTTTTCAAAATATTGAGAAAGTGGATGACCACAATACGGCATTGACTTCAATTCATATGAGTTGGTCATGAATTTTGAAGGGTGCTGTTTTGTCGGAGTTGGTGGTTGTATTCGATAGTCCTTATATAAATTTACCAAGATTAAGATTCATTAGAATTGCCTAAATTCAGTGAATGAAGCATATGTTTGTGCTTCTGATGGAAATTACATGGAGAACTTGTGCTTCTGATTGTGCTTTGGCATATTATTGCCCCCATGAGTGTGTCTCGCTTTGTTGAAATGCGACTGCAGTCATGTTTTCATATTATTGTAGCATTAATTCTTGTGTTTTTACCCCAAAATGAACTCTCTGATGCTATTTCTGTGATTTTAAATTGTCTTCTCCGGCTATAAATGAGATTGGTATCTGCAGTCTAACTTCATACTGCTGTTTGGTGCTACAAAACAGGGTAGGTTGGTGTTTTCATTGCCGTTCTCTAAAGTTACATGCCCCCTATTACCCGCCGTGCTTCCAAAGGTAGTTTGCGTGGTTCTGACTCTGTTTACTGCCTTGTTTAGTGCGACTAATTTTGACTCGTATGCAAACACAGCATTGAAGACGAAAAATTGTGACAGTCCAAGGGGATCCAACTCAGCTTGGGGGGAAAACGATTTACAAACGTGCATTTCTAACTACTACAAGGTAATACCTGCTAGTCCTCTACTTTCGCTACTTATTATTTCATCTCTGTTTTGTCCCGCCGATAGTATAAGTACCAACGTGTCTGATTGCCTTTGTTTATGGATTAATAAGATGAGAAAACAAAGGCGCAATCCAGGTGGACAGAAATTTTATTTCACTAGGAAGCAGGAAATAGAAATTGCTGAGCGCCTAGTCAGCATGCATAGAGCTAGTGAAATTAGGGACAATAATATTGGTAGCTACGTGGTTCCCGAAATTCAACAGCAGTTGAACAGCCAATTTGGCACATCGTTCACTTGGGACAGCATAAGAGCCAAATACTATGCCTTGCGAGAACTTACCAAGCTGTACATTGGCTTCAAGAGGCGGGAAACGGGACTGGGTTGGGATAGCCAGAACTTTACCTGGCTCATGGACGATAGCAAGTGGGCTGAGCTTGCACAGGTATTTTTTGTCAAGTAAACTGTTTTTATATCAATTTAATGGCTGTTAAAAGTTAATCAGATTATACGTGCAACTCCCTCAAATATCCTTTTGACTGTGTTTTTTTTTTTGTCAGGTGAACCCAAAATTTTTAAAATTTCAAGATGACTGCACCGTCTACCACTTGCTTGAGGAGGTTTTTGTCAACCAAGGAGCAACGGGAGATTTCAGCGCTGGCTTTGAGAACGAGCCCCGTACTTCACCCGAGGAGAGATACATGGAGAACCTTGCCCGATCGTCACGGGGAAAGGGAAGGTTGGATGCTGTGCATGAGGGTGTTCAAACTGAGTTAGCAGGAGCAAATGAAGCGAAAGGGAGAAAGGGCAAAGGAAAGCGAAAATCGGGGGACATGTCAAGCGGTAGTCCTATGTCCACCGCCTCCCATTCTGATAGGTACATGAAGGCTCTTGACACCATTGAGTCCCTGGTTAGTCGCCATAAGAGCAGCAGCATGGGCGTGTCAGTCAGTTCTCCGGACAAGCAGTGTTCCGGCCGCGGTGGCCCGACCAAAACCACCTATGAAGTTGCCATGGATCAACTTCGGGGAATGGAGAACATTTCATACGCCTCCAAAATGGCCGTGGCTGAAATATTGAAGGATAAGCAAGAGCTGGCCATTTGGAATTTAGCACAATCGGACGCCGACCGCATCACATTTATGAAAACGAAAGGCTGTTTCCCACCTGATACGCAGGAGCCCCCTCCCCCACCTCCGTTCTAGGCGTTTCATTTCCATCGGGAGCTTGTATCTGAGACTTGAGTTGTTGACTTACTTTCTTTATAGCCAACTCAGCTTGTTGTAGCATTTGCTACCGATACATTTGAGTGTTTTTTTTTCAGAGGTGTTGTGATTTGTCTATTTGGATTCTGGCCCCGTACTGGCCATGAGTTTGTTCAGTTTTTATTGCATTCGGCTGGAGTTGTTGGGTTTTTATTATTATTGATGATGTGTTTGTGGCATTGACTGTCTTGGTTAATTTCTAAATTCAGGGGGGCTTTGTGTCCATGAATGCCCTGGATATGATATGTCGAAACGCAGGATTTGAGTTAATTGTGTTTGGTCCTCTGTTGGTTGCTATTTAAAACCATGAGTAGTATATATTTTTGGGGATGACTTTGTGGGATAATTTCTAAGGATAGGATTAGGAATGTGGTGCTAGTTTTCATTAACAACAGGTTACTCGTTTTAAGGCATTTGTTCATAGCTACAAATGTTGTGAACTGAAATGGCAAAGTAAAATGCTGTCCTAAGGTATATGATTGGCCAGGTTTTGTTGTTGTCCAAATATTCACTTATTGGCTTGTTAGTAGCTGTCTTGACTTGAAATCTTATTCACTGTGATGAATATATATTCCAAGAGCTATTGCCATATTACTAGCTATCATGTGGTGGATTTTTTTTTTTCAGATTTGTTGCCCGAACTAGCACATAAGCTGCCTTCTTGATTTGCTGATGCTATATAGCTATTTGCCAGTATGCTTTAATTAGGAGATAATGGCGTTGTTGTTGATCATGCCTTTTGAAAATAGCCTTTTTTCTCAGGATCACGAGTGACTTTGGCTGCCGAGATCACATTTGGAAATGGAGTATGAGCATTATTTGCAAGGTGGGGATTTCTTCGACGAAGGAGATGAGGAGGAGATACTTTTGACCTTCACCTACTTTGTGCTTGTTGGATTGGCTCTGTTCGACCCATACCTAAACCCTGTGGAACGCCGACGAATTCGAGATGGTGCACAGTCGGGTGCTCAATGGGTTGTAGAACTCATAAACGGCCATCGAGACAGAATATTCGACAACCTTCGAATGGAAGCTTCGCTTTTCCTCCAGTTATGTGATTTGTTGATTGAGAGGGGCTATTGGGAGCCCCACCCGACAGGACGGGTAGGCATTCACGAGTCTCTCGCCATTTGCCTTCTTTGCTTGAGTCATAACGAGCGACATAGGGTGCTAGCCGAGAGATTCCAACGCACAACCGAGACCACAGACCGTCATCTTCGACGATGCCTTCGATCTCTCGTTCGCTTGGGACGTGATTTTGTCCAGCCGATAGATTATCACACGACGAATCCAAGAATACAGAACAGTGCTACGTTTTGGCCATGGTTTAAGGTTAGGGATATTTTGTGAAATCTCTTATTAATTATAATCTATAGGAGACTGAACGTCTACTTATTGTGATTAGGATTGTGTTGGAGCTATTGATGGAACGCATGTTTCAGCTTGGTGTAGAGCTGAAGACAGGGAGCGTTATCGGAATAGGCATGGCGGCTTATCGCAAAATATATTAGCAGTGTGTGATCATAATATGCGATTCACTTATGTCAGGGTAGGGTGGGAGGGTAGCGCACATGATTCTAGGATCTTAAAAGATGTCTTACTTGATCCTAATTGTGCTTTTCCATGGCCACCAGAAGGTAATTTGGGTATTAAATCATCCATTTGGAATTTATCGCATGACTTTTCTTAAAACATTTATAGTAATATTTATAATGCACTTAACTATAATTACATTGTGCAGGGAAGTATTATGCGGTGGATGCGGCATACACGAACATGCCAGGATTTATGGCTCCCTTTAGGGGTGCACGGGGAACCCAACAGGAGCGGGCAGCAAGAACACTTTTCAACAGACGCCATGCATCGTTACGGAATATTATAGAACGCACGTTTGGTGTTCTTAAGAAGCGATTTCCGATACTTAAGGGCCCCATGCAGAACTATTTGATGGCGACACAGAATAATATTGTCCTGGCTTGCTGTGCATTGCACAACTTTATGCGCGATAATGTCCCGAATGACGCATATTTTGTTGAAGAAGAGAATATTGCAGCACAGGCAGATAATATAAATCATGTGGTGGACCAAATGGCCGGTGCAGAACCACTGGATATGTCGCCTCAAGGAATTGCTGGTTGGAATGAATTCAGGAGCGGCTTGGCAAACAGCATGTACTATCACCAACATTAGTAGCTCCATTTTGTCGTTATCTATTTTGTAGCTTTTGTAACTAGTTGGCGGATTGCGAATGGCAAACTTTTTCCCTAATGGTTCCACGGTGGCTATTGTATATGACATGTAAAATCTCTATCTATTAATCTATAGTTTTAATTATACCAGTGTTGTACTGATAAAGTATTTTGTTGAATGAAATTTATTGATTTTTTTAATTACCAATTTGAATGAATGTTTTTCGAAAATAGCTAAAAAAAAGCTTGTTTTTGAAAAACAAGCTGTTTTTCAAAAACAGATAATCCAAACAAGTTTGTTTTTGAAAAACAAGCTGTTTCTCAAAAACAGCTAATCCAAACAACATTTGCTGTTTTTCAAAAAATGAATAGTATAGTTTTTAAAAAACAACCCCAAAAACAGCTAATCCAAGCGGACCATTAGATTTGATGATGCAGGGGTGTGCAATGCTTTGCCAATTGAACCCATTCAGATGAAGGCACTTTATAGCACTGGGATTCTCCATGAACTTTCAGGTTTCACCAATAAACTTCAATCTGGAATGCTTAACTTCTATTACAGACAGGTTCTAGATGTGGCCTTCATCTACATGTCACCCCAGACATATTACTTTCCATTTCATCCATGTCACATTTTGATTTAAAGCATGTCCATGACAAAAGAATGTACTGTTGGTGTATAATTTGTCAGTCAACTGGAGGTTTAGACATTGAAATGGTTTCTCTTCCTTTGCGTTGTCATTTTAGAAAATTTTGCCTCAAGTCTTTGAAACAGTCTGTTGGATTCAGATGATGGAACAGGTCTTCCTGATCAACTTCAAGGTGTATATTTTGGTTGGGCAAGACTTGATGTAGACAAAATTATCAAGATTGTGATCAGTATCACCTGGGAGCGTAAATGCTGCTCGTATGGGAGAAAAATTGTGAGTAAACGATGGCACTATCTCAATTTTGAACATGATTTGTCTAAAAGGTAGTTTTTGAGCTGATGCTCATAGGGGGTGTCGTGTAAGCCTCTTACTCAACACCTGTGAGTAAATTCACAGGAAAGACTCTATTAACTAAATAAACAGGATGCTATGATCTAGATCACCCTTAAGGATTGTGATTGTGTATTCTTCGGTTAGAACTTTTATTACTTTTATGTTTCAAAAGACCACTGGGAGATTCTGCACTCTTCTTTGATCAGTCATGGCACAGAGTGGACTTGACCTGACCAAAGGTGCAACAGCACTTGGTTTAGAAATGGATTAGAGTTCTTTTTGGTCACTCTTTTCACAGTCGGCTGTATGGTGGAACTATTCACGGCAAGTGAGAATTCAACCCCTTTTTTGTCCTTTTGTATGGTCAATGGATGTACAGCCAAAAATAGAGTTCTGTTTGAAAATCGATGAACGGCCTGGGGCCATCAGTTTCTGGCCTCATAGCCTTTCTTTCTTCTCAATATTAGTCTCATAGTTGTTAATATGGTCACCATCTCTTTCAGGACTGCAATAGTTATCCTTTCCAATCAGTACTAAGACAGTGCATTTATCAGCTATGTTTCGAACATTTGATACTTTTTCCAATTCAACTTTTGGCTGTGGGTTACACAGATCTTTCAGAGCTTCAGTTTGAGTTTAACTTTTCGTGTTCCTTTTCAGCAAGCATTCATAATTAATGGAAGCAATGAGAACGTGTATGATGAGGAAATGGAGCTATTAATAGTCGGCTTCATCAGAGGATCCAGTTGCATGGTAACTGAGAAGACACTTCTAAATTCTACATCTCTCTCTCTGGTTTAGGATCTTCTAACAGTTGTGCTGCATATTATCCAGGGCAACACCAACAATGTTGAAATAACTGATGAGGACAAGCTTACTGCAGATGCTGCCCTAGACTTGCCTGTATTTTCCCAGGACAAATGCAACAGTTTCCTTCCAGAATTTGCTGCTGGAGACAGCACTCAGACAAAGAATAAATGAGTCATCCATTACTGTTACTAAGTTGCCATCATGTAGACTGGCTAAAATGGAACAACATTTTTGCTCTTCATGCTGGTTCAGCTCAAGATAATAAATCAGCTACCTGCAATTCTCTTTATGGGGTTCCTTTTTCATTTCCCTATTATTCACTCTCTCTTCTCTTGTAGTTCCATAATAATAATTAAATTCGGATCTACGAATATTAAAAGTTAGTTTGAGGTAGATATCCATCAAACGATAACATAAACAATAACATTGAAGATTTGCAGTGAAGTCAAGTTCAAAACTAAATAAAATAGTTCATAAATAATATAATTGAAGCAAACTTAAATATCAATAAAATCCCATTAGTTCACGGTAACTATTAATTTGCCTCCGTCAACAAAAGAAAGATAAAAATGTTATAGGACATTATGATCTTGAAAGTTAGACATTACTTTAGTTACTACTATTCAATATTTCTACAAATATTTTTAAAATCTCAATCAATATAAAAGCAAAATTTTAAATCTATTAAAGCGAGTTTTATATGCAATAATGTATTTAAAAATGAGGAAAAAAAATGCATCCCTCTAACCATCCTAATTGATACAAAAGGTAAAATTTTTAAATCCCATATGATACAGAGTAACAATTGAGAGACCGATTTTTACCTATGATACTATATAATATAAGTAAATAACTAAGGCAGTGATGGTGGGTAATAAATTTGATAAAAGCCCTTTGTCGGTTGAAAACCCATTTGTTTACACTCTTCCCTCGCCGCTCCTCCCTTGGCGCGCCTCTCTCTCTCTCTCCCCGATCCTGCGCTCGCCACAAATACGAATATTATGGCAAATAGCAATTTACCGAGACGAATTATCAAGGTAAATTGTCCTTCAATCTTTGTTTTTATTGGACCTTTTTAAGTCCAAGGAATCAATCTCTAATTTAGATGCCTAATATGCGCAATTTTTCCCCTCTTTTAATAGTGAATTTATGTATAAAATTTTTGAAGTAGCATTTGTGTTCATCTAATTCTGTTTTGTTCTCAATTTTCTATGCTATTTACTGTGCAGGAAACGCAGCGTCTTCTCAGTGAACCATGTCGGTAACTCAGTATACAGTCCAATTTACTTCAGCAAGATTAGTAATCAGTCGTTTTGGTTTAGTTAATTCCAGCTATGAATATTCTGCTTTTGTAATTTGAACTGTGTTGTGAAAGTTTTCTGCTTGGTAATGTGTGATTTTTGGAATTATCATGGATGTGAGAATTTTTTAGCTTTAGGATATGTAAGTTATTTATCTGATTTTCGTTCTTTTGGAAATGTTTTTTTGGTTTGATTGGTGTGTTAATTAGCGCCTGGAATTAGCGCGTCGCCTTCGGAAGACAACATGCGGCATTTTAATGTGATGATACTTGGCCCTGCACAATCCCCGTATGAAGGTACTTTACACTTCAATTCCCTGACTTGATTTTCTTGATTATTAGTTGTGATTATGTGTGGAAAGCTCGCTAAGGGGTTGTTCTTCGTTGAATTTTGTTGTGGGCAGTTATTAGTCCGATGAAGTTACTTGTATGATGTCCTTGAATAACCTAATTAAGGTGACTGTCTTGTACCGTTAATGCTAACACTGGTTGTGGTGATTTAAATTTGAACATAAATAATTTCATTGTTAAGGTAGTACTAAGTTTATGCATGTAAATGTTTGAAATATTTGTTGCCTACTATAACTGGTAGACTTGCAAGATGTCCTACCATCCCTGTCAATGTAAAATTGGGCATTAGAGTTACTGTGAATAGAGTGGTTGATATACATGTTTATTGTGATATAAGGTGGAGATGTAGTGGTGGCAATGTGGATTAGCTGATATTTGGAAATTTGTGGTTAAAAGAAATTTGAAAATTCATTTTTTAATTGATATAACACTCCAAAATGAGTATTTGCACTTCAAGGTTAGGCGATACGTAATGTATCATATCAATCAAATTTTTGAGTTACAATCAGGATTAATCGGCCCTGTGGAACACATTGGGCTTATGGAACCTGGTTCATTCTCATTGTACCTACTCTCGTAGTTACCTTTGCTAAGTGAAACGCAACATGGAAGTGCTTCAGTTATTTCACCGTAGTAGTAGATTCTCTTTGAATTTTTTTTTTTTTCAAAGTGTAACTGGAACAACCAAGAGTAAGTAAATGATGCAGATTTTGAGTTGTGCAATTTACGTTGTGCTCAAGTTGCGGAAACTGGCTACCATATTTTAGCTTTTTGGTGCTTGCAATAATTTATAGGTCATGAAGAAGATATTTCTGTAGTTCTATGTGTATATGCTGTTAATGTTTCAAACGTAATCAGGAGGCGTATTCAAGTTGGAATTGTTTCTACCTGAAGATTATCCAATGGCACCACCTAAGGTATTTCCATATCAGCTGTCATTTTTTGTTTTTAAAGTTTTAATTGGGTCAGGATGGGCTAAAGCTTGGGTAGATTGTTAGTTCCTTGGTCAATTGAGTACTTCACAATACTTTATTTGCAGTATAACTCTTCAAGTCTACAATCAGATTCTTAAGCATTTAAAATGGAAATATTGTTGGTCTTTAATGGTTTTGGATGCCTCCCATTCTCCTGTCTCTCAGCCTGGTTTCATTCTTTTGGATTGTTAGAATCAGTAATGGTACTATTCTACCATTGTCGTTTTGTGGTCAGGTCTTGACCAATTATGCAAACTTCATATAATTTTATTCCATGGCTGAACAAGTCATATGATTTCTCTATAATACATGAATAGAAGCTTTTGTTATTACTTGCAGGTTCGCTTTTTGACTAAAATATACCATCCCAACATTGACAAGGCAAGTGGCATCTGCTCTGAGTTTCTAGTGTTGCTCTGTCTCCTTTTATGTTAAATTTAGTTATTTCATTCTTTTAGCTGGGAAGGATATGTCTTGACATTCTGAAAGACAAATGGAGTCCAGCTCTCCAGATCCGAACAGTTTTATTAAGGTTAGTTGTCTTCTCCCTCAAACAAAGACTTGATGCTTTGTATTCAGACTTGGATATCTGAACTTAGATCATACAGGCAGTACTGTGTTCCTTCTGAGAGTGGTTAATTCTTGTTATTTCTATCTTTAAATCTTATTAAATTGGAGGTGGAGTTTATGGAAACTTTAGAAATGGTAGTGTTATGACTTCTGCAAGTGAAGGAGGGTAGTCATATATTGACTTTGAAACGTCTTTGCTGCTTCAGTAGTTCTTAACAAATATGTGGATGAAGCTAATACCAAGACCTTGTCTGAATTCAGCATACAAGCTCTTCTTAGTGCGCCAAATCCAGATGATCCACTTGCGGATAACATTGCGAAGCATTGGAAGTCAAATGAGTCTGAGGCTGTTGAAACAGGTGATGCGCCATGAGAGCTAAATTGGTGGTTAAGAACTTCCGTATTGAGGTTCATGCCGTTGTCTTCTTTCTCTTTGCTTGCTCACGGGTATGTTCGTCTTTGTTGGTAATTTGCAGCAAAGGAATGGACTAGTGCATACGCAACTGGTGCATGACAAAGAAGGCAGGATATCGTGGTTAAAAAGGATTTTGGCAACTCTTGTTGTATGTTTAATTGACAGGCAAGTTTGTCGTTTGAGTAATAGATGAATTAGTCTTTCAAACTAATGTACCATTGGTGTCCCTAAAACTTCCGCATTCAGCTGTAGTTTACTATTTTCCGGTTTAGAAGGCTTGCTTTAAATATGTACAGCCGCCTTGCTATATTTTGTTATAAATTTAGTGGTAAGGTACACTTCTATAGATTGCTTGTCATACATTTTAGGGATAATTATAGAAGCCTCCTTTAAGGTTTTTGACAATTTCATTGGGCTCCCCTAAGGTTTGCAAGACTATACCTACCTACCTTGATTTGATTTAACTAAACATTAAAACAACATTGACTTCGGTCAAAGTTTTAAATGAGTACTCTAAAATGCTGATTTATTATAGTGATAGGATTTTTTTATGGTGTTTATTAGGGATTGAGATTTATAAGATAGAGAAGAAATTGTTGAAATAATTCTTTTAAAGTTCGTAAATTTTTCGAGTGATAGAATTACCATAATTTGGTAGTTGGGTCATATCTTTTAGATTTATTTTTTTTTATTTTGATACCAAACAAAAAAAAAAAAAAAAAAGAGAACAAAGATTAGCAAAAACTATGGATCATATTTAAAGGTAACTCGTCAAAACATATAACTAGCTAGACATTTGGTTAGAATGGAAGTTTACAATAGTCGTAATAGTTCTCTGGTATTGTTGATGGAAAATAAAAAAGAGGAACTAGAAGGACAAAGAATGAAAAAATAATGTTAAAACTCATTCTTAGTTGGTGAAAAATAAAAAAGACGAATACAAAAAAACATAATGAATAAAATAGTGTTAAAATTCATTATTAGCTATATGCATACCAATCAAGGAATTTCATTAAAATATTTAAGAGTAATATTATCATTTTAAATAATAAAAGAGGTATGCATAATTTTTAAAATCTTGAGAGAATTCAATGAAATTGTTAAAAATCTCAAGGGAGGTCTTCTGGAATTTAATTTTCTAGAATTGAATTAGGTTGACAAAAAAACTCGCCTCAAGAGATCAAACTAAATGTCCACGATAGGGTGCCTATTTTTCAGCCGATAGAGGATCCTTAATGAAAAGTTATTCGATATTTCTGGGTAATTCACCTATGGGGAGAACTAAGCCAATAAATGAGAATGAATTCAATACTCGAGTATCATTCACATAAAATTTCTAAGCAAAATGAAGTTCCCCCCAATCAAAACGTTGCCTCCAACATGCAAGTCGTGAACCTCGTGAAAGTTAATGGACTCGATAACCATCCACTCGAGCCAAACCTGAGTATACTATTCTCAAGCATATTATAGGAAGTTTCGACTGTTAGTTTAATTTTTTTTAAAAAAAAAATTTAATAGAAAAAGGGGGGAAAAATCTTTCCTCAAGCCATCCGTCTCCTCCTATGAGATTGTGCAAATCAAGGAAAGGATTCTTAAGAAAAAAGTTTGTTCCAATTTGGATTCTGGCAGAAATCACATACTAAAAACAAGAAAACATGCACATAATCAACAAGTAACTCTCTTCTGAAAGAATATCGAATCAACGATCATGTCCCAACCCTATTTGTTTTACAATTTGGTGTTGATATTTCGCTTAGCATAACATGCCACTTTCGAACTGAGCAAAAAGTATATCAAGATATCCAAATAAAATGTACATTTTAGTTCTAAATCTCAGCCACGCTAATACAATTCACCTTTTCTTAAGGGGGACTAGGATATCTTACTTTTGATCAATGTATCCATTAATGTTTAGAATTATCATGAGTTGGAAATCCCCCCATCACTTTTGCCTTTTATCAAAAGTTTTCACTGGAATATCCAAACATTCATCCATCATCAAAATAAAGCAAGTAGCATAATAATGTAAAATATCTCTCACTAAACCGAATTGGTAACCCCGGTACATATATTGGGCCTGTCGAATGGAATCGGCAGTTATATCACATGTGAGTCATTTTACAATCAATTACGTCTAATGCCCGTTCAATCAAAACAGATTACCGTCTCTAATACTAACATTTCACACAAAAAGTCAATTCACTTCCTTCCACTTTTGTCTCTCTCAGAAAAAAAGAAGTAATATTAGAATTTCAGATATTCATCTACAATCTACCACCAGAGAAAAAAGTTAGAACCTCAAGTCATATATGAACAGACAAAAATACCCTCGCCTTCTCTCCAAACCCCAGATGTGCCATTTTGTCCTCAATCATCTACGAATCAACCACAAGAATCGGCGACGGAGAAGCCGAGGGCTGGACCTGAACCTCGCCGGCTGAAGCTACAGAAGCAGCGACACCAACACCAAAGTTGACAACGCCGCCATCGCCATTTCCACTCAAATTAACGTACTTCACTGTCCTCTTCTTCCGCGGTCCCCGACAGTTCGGTGAACACGTGGCCGTTTCAGAACCCCCGACGTTCAAGCCACCGGAAACGCTGTCTTCACCGCCATCAATTTGAGCGACTTTCCGGCGCTTTCTTCTCGTCTTTTTAGGCTTCTCTGAAGCAGTTGAGACGATACTCGTTCCAATAGCGGAAATAGAGCCTTGGCCGTCGTTGTTGAGGCTTCCGCCGTCGCGCTGGTGGTGGAGGTTGGCGGAGTTTAGGGTTTGCAGAGAGGTGACGCAGCACTCTTGCCATTTGAGCTCGTTAAGGTCCTTGATGACGTCATCCAGCGACAAGAAGGCGTCGGAGGATACGCCGTCGTCCTGAAGCGTTGACCGGGAAGGATCCATTAGCTCCAGCGACTTCACAAGTTCAACCAGAAGACTCTGTTTCATTGAGGGAGAAAACATAAAAACAAAAATTAATTGACCAAATAAATTGAAATTCGAAAACAAAGGGGGAAAAACGATAGAAGCTAAATTGACCTTCTGAGGGCCGCAGATCCTATTGAAGCCGTGCATGTCGATGATCTAAACTAGAAAACAAGACAAGAATCAGAAAATTACAGCGAAATGATTAAGATAATTTGAACTACTTTTGCGTCTCTGAATTTTTTAAAAATTTGAAGAAAAAAACAGACAACAATTTTTATTCTTCGTACTGAAAATTTTGAAAAGTGAATAACATTCAAGCATCAAATAATCGACTCGAAGAGCGAAGACATTTCAGTTCTCTTTATCCATACCAAATGAGCACAAAACATCAGCATCGGCTGATTTTTCAGAAAATACGGTACAGTATGGAGAAATTTAATGCAGAAGAAGCATCAAAACTCCAAACAGATCTAATTGACCTGGTTGAGGTGGTGAACAGTGAGATCAAGCTGCTTGTGGCTGTGAATGAAGTCGAGGTATTGTTCCATCGTCAGCTTCTGCTGCTTCGGCCTGCCTCGTCGTCCACCACCGTCTCCCTCCGCCATTTTCACCACACTCTGCATTTTGTACTAGCTCACGGTCCCCGCGTGAGTGTGCGCGATTTCTGTTAGGCTGGTTGCTGGAGTACTGAGCTGGCTTTATATAGGTACTGGGTGGGCTCCACAACCAGCTGGCCCGAATTTTTTGTTGCATTCTTCTCAGGCACGCAATTGAGAAGGCCAATTAATCTCGAGTTAAAATACTTAAAATAAATAGATGATTAATAGTTTATAACACAAGTATGAAGTACGGACATGGGTTTTTTTTTTTTTTTTTGGTGGAAATTTGTCCTCTCAAAAGTTTTACGTATCAATTAGTTACTAATTGATGACATACAAAGTATTCAACAATCGTTATAGTTATTGGTTAGGGATTTTATGTTCTGCCTGACAGATTAGGGTTCGAACTTGACTGACAGGTTTAAAGGAGAAAATTAATAATCATACATAAGTATCTCCATAACTCCAATTTGTGATGTATGATTATCATTTAATTAAAGGGTTTGCATTTGAGACGTTGAGTTGGGGTCGTTAATGTGCTAGCACTCCACTTTTTATAAACAACATTTGATGTATTTTTTTCATGTTCTTGTACAAAAATTGCACTGAGAGATTGAATACTTAAACAAGAACTGAAGTCTCTGTGTCATATATCATACTCTGATGAATTTAGGCTAGAAGGTTTAGTTTTGGGGTGCTAACTGGCAAATTAGTTTGTGCAGTCAAAAGCTAGTGAAGTGTAGATATAATGAGAGAGCTTATTTTCTAACCCTGACATATTCTTCATCTCCAAGAGGTCTCTGCACCACAAAATGATGCAGTGGAAGGGATGAAGTCCCACCAGTCAAATTGTTGCCTCCAAGATAGAAATCATGAGATTTTGTCAAGGAGCTCGATAAGAATTTAACCCAAACTCCTTTTAGAACCAATGCAGCAAACAAGAGCAAAAGTTGGTCCATGGTAACTGCAGTATGTGCCTACCCACTCCTGGTTAATTGGCCAAATATAGTTGCCCTGTATTAGGTGGAAATGAAAACTTAAAGGGCTTCCCAAATATAAGATTCAAAGATCAAAATTTGTATACATTACATTTCGATTAAATTTGTCCAGTTCATATGATTTACAGGCAAGATTTGACCATGTACACAGCACAAATATGCAGACTGACTTAACAGCTCATGACTAAAACAATACTTCTCAAAACTCGGGCTCCGCGTTTATCGACCTAAATCAAAATCAGAGAAACGAAAAGGACATCAGATAGCAAATTCCACTTTCTTTGTCAGGAAAGTCAAAGTTACCTATGGCAAGGGGCAAAGTTACCTATATGGAGGGCCATTGGCGATGATACGTTCCTTCTACTGCTAGAAAGTCTTCCAACTTTGTGCTGTCTTGATGATCAACAGCAATCTTGACTTTGTCTTTCTGGGCATTATCACTACTGTAATTCCAAATGCGTGGCCAGTAAGATAGGGGTTTGAGGAGGTGATTTTTGGTTGGTAACTAGACCGACCTGGATCAGTCCTCTCTGAGATGAAGTGAGGTGAACTCCTGTGTCCGAAGTTAACCTCCTCGTCCGAAGTGAGTGGCGGGGCTTCTCCCCTGGTGTCACTCCGACGATCAAGTTAGTATGAGAACGAGAATAATGAGAATGAGTTAATGAACAGTGTCCGCTTACTTGGTGGGAGTGTGAGGGAGGTATTTATAGAAGAGTAGAGGCGAGACTCTGGACTTATGTTAGTGGGACCCACTCTGACATTACAGCTCTGTCTCCTGTCGGGGAGTCTGACTCTGACACTGTAGCCGCCTGGGAGTGATGACGGAGGATATGGTGCAGGTGCCATCAAGTGCCTCCCGTGCTTTTCAGATAAAGTGCTGGTCC